AGAGAGAGAGAGAGAGAGAGAGAGAGAGAGAGAGAGAGAGAGAGAGAGAGAGAGAGAGAGAGTGATACAAGATTGGTTGTCACGTACCTGTTGAAGAGCGTTGTGCAGTCCCACAAAGTGCAGAGGCGGCCATAGCCGCGCAGCTCAGCCACAGAGTAACGAAGGAGGATGTGAGAAGAGAGACGGAGAGGGAGAGACCGAGAAGAGTGAGGAAACCATAGCCGAGGAGGTGAAGGGAGAGACGAATGAAAAAAAAAAAGAAAAAAAAAAAAAGAAAGAAGAAGATAACCGGGGTGGAAGAAGAGAGAGGCGAGGAAGGAGGAAGGAAGGAGGAGGTTGGTGAGGAAGAAGAAGGCGGCAGTCATAGCCGGCCAAAGCGTTGACCGGGCGTTGACCGGAGTTGACAGGAGCTGACCGGGAGTTGACCGGGGGTTGACTACAGCGTTGACCAAGCATTGACCAAGACTGTTGGCCACGATTTTGACCAAGCTGGAGCCGGTATAATCTCGCCAAGCCTTCAGCCTATCCCCTCGCCCTATGGATGTGCACACACCCTGTGGTACTTGCTCAGTCAAGTCTGTCTGCCTCTTCTTTCTGCATCGAGTCTCTTCTGTTCAGGTGGTAGGACTCTGTGGATGAAGGATAGGGCCTTGTTGACCAAACCCACACGGGCTGAGTAGGGCTAAAGGCCGTGTCTGACGACTCGACTGTCCTAGAGGACACGAACCCTCCCAAGGACCGGTGTGAGGAAACCCGGGGAGGGGTCACCCGCTGTTCGCTGAAGCCATGGGCTACGACGCCTGTCACTTCACCGCGCCCGCTTCCGAGGTCCTCAGCGACCAGCAGCGGTTAGGGAGTTGATTCACTTGCCACTGCTCCCTTTTAAACTGTTGAGTACAAGGTTCACCCCACTCTCCACCACAGGGCAATTTTTAGTAACTTAACACAAGATCAAAGTCCTGCCCCTGTCAAGCTTTCGTTCGTTTTCAGGCCAGCTCAATTCGAGATCAAGTTAGGGAATTTGTAAATAAATTAAGTTAACACAACGATGAAGTGAGGAAGAAAATAGTTGAGCTCAGATGCACACCCAACCGCGTCTGCTGATTCGTCAGGCATTCAAGTAGTACCCTCCCTTTCCCTTAACGAGTTCTCTCTCTTCTTCTCTCAGAGTTCAATTCTTCTCTCACTCGCCACCGATTCGGTGGCATTGCAGTGTTTCATACTCTTCGATCCCGAGTTACAAATCCCCACTCTTTTGCCATCGAATAAGGAGAGTCTGTTCTGACGACGCGCTGCGGCTTTTGATCTGCCTATGAGCAGCGAATCTCTGATATTCCAAAAGATAGAGAGGTGTTTGTACCGTCAATGGGCAGCAGCAATACGATCAGCTATGAACAAAGGATTTCGGGTTCCCCAATGTCGAAGGGTTTTCTCATCTGCCAATAGGCAGCAAACGTCTCATCCTCAAATGAACTTTGACCGCCCAACCCGTCAACGCACAAGGATAATAGGATCCCGTGATTGTTTTCTTAAGCTTTTCCGTTAGCAGATAGCCACACTCTACACTCCCCCCCCTTCCGTTTCTCGCTTACCGGTTCACACAGTCTTTCAAACCTTCACCCTCTGTCCCCGTCCGTAGCTCAACAAGTCTCTTGTTTTTCACACATTCGACGTTTCAGCGGACTCTCACTCTCGCTGTATGCTCCGTCCTCTTTTTTTGTGTGTTCTCTTTCTCTCCCTCGCCTTCCCCACACACGCACGAGAAGGCAGCTAGCTGCCCCCCTTACCTCCAATTTGCCAAGTCTATTCTCACAGGTTATGAAAAGGTGGAGCTTTCCTTACCTCTTCTTCTCCCCCTTTTTAATTTTCTCTTCTTTTCTTCTTCCTTTTTTTCGCTTTTGCGCTCTGATTCACAGTGTGACAATATATATATATATATATATCGTCAAATAGAACTACCCGGTAAACCGTAGGCANAAAAAAAAAGAGAAAAGAGAAACAGCGAGAAGGAAGGAGGGTGACCAAGGGGAGAAAGAGAGTGAAGGTTGGTGAGAGAGAAGGAGCCGGCAGCCATAGCTGACCGGAGGGTTGACCGGGCGCTGACTGGAGGGTTGACCGGGGTGTTGACCGAGGGTTGTCCGCGTTGACTTAGCGTTGACCAAGACTTTGACCAAGCTGGAGTTTGGTAACATCTCGCCAAGCCCTTAGCCTATCCCGCCGCCCAATGGATGTGCACTCACCCTGCGATACTTGCTGAGTCTGAGTCTGTCTGTCTCTTCTTTCTGCATCGAGTCTCTTCTGTCCTAAGTGGTAGCACTCTGTGGATGAAGGATAGGGCCTGGATGACGAAACCCCTACATACCTTGTAGAGCTAATACCGTGTCTAATCTCACTGTCCCGGAGGCCTAACCCTCCCAAGGACCGGTGCTGACCGGCGGGGCTCGGATTGGGCGTGACACGGTGGGCTTGAACGGCGGAGTTGGGGCTGACACACTAGGCAGTCTGAAGTGTTGAGGGCCTTGTTGACCCAAACCCCTACCGGACCTAGTAAGGCTAAAGGCTGTGTCTGACGACTCGACTGTCCCGGAGGACACGAACCCTCCCAAGGACCGGTACAGACCAGCGGGCTGCTCGGTGTGGCATGGTAGGCCCGAAAGGCTGAGTTGCGGGCTGTGCAACAGGCAGAACCAAGCTGATCACGTCGTCCTGTCTGCGACGTTAAAGAATTCTTGAGGAGTTACGGGGGATCTCCTTAAATGCCTCCTGATCAGCCACAGGTTCAGTAGTGACAACCATAGTGTAGGTCTAGGCTAGCGGCCATAGCTGACAGGGTCTTATACGAACCCTGTGGTCCTTAGAGAGTCTGTCAGTGAGTTCTGCGGGTAGGTCTACGTGGTGAGAAGTGGGATTGTCCTGTCGTGCACCTATCACCATGGATGATTACCCGATGTATGGTTTACTCGTTGGGTTCTCCCTTTGGGGGACCCTCTGGCGTCTCCTCTTCCCACTGGGGTTTTGGAACACGTTTTCGTGTAGAGTAGATACTAGGGGTGGTGCCTCCACCAAGCCCTATACGAAGGAAGAGGAGGAGAAGATGGCCGCCATCCTGAAGGACAGGAAAGAGAAGAAAGAGGCCAAGAAGAAGGCCCTACAGGAGGAGCATGCGACGAAGTTGAAGAAGATTGAAGAGGAGATGGCTAGAGAGAAGGAGAGGCTGAAGAAAGAAGAAGAAGCGAAATTAAAGGAAGTGGAAAAGGAAGAAGAAGAAGTAGAAGAGGAGCCACTGGAGAGAGGAAGAAGAGGAAACAGAGGGGAGTCCAGTGAGACAAAGGAAGACTTGATGCAGAAGAAGATTTCAGAGTGGGTTGCAAGACTGACCCTGGGAGAGGATGAGGAGGCGTTAATGTATGTGCCTAGGGACGAGCAGGAGGCGGTCGTGCGAGAGTGGGAAGCTGAAAGAGACCCACTCAAGCGCCAAGTGCTAAAGGATGAGAAAAGGATGGAGTGGAAGTTCCGCCTCACTAGGGAGAGAAAGAGAAGAATGGAGGCGACAACATAGGCGGCGCAAGAGTTGGAAGAGATTAGGAAGCAGCGGGATCAGATGGCGGTCCAAGTAGATTTATTAGGAAAGGTAGAGATTCTGGCCAAGAACGTGGAACGCCTGGCAAAGGTCCAGGAGGAGAAGCTTTTATTTGGGAGAGGTCAGGACATTGCCGTGCGTTCGATACGGCATAGGTGCTGGTCCAAGCCCAGATCTTCCCAATGCCTGCCTTGTGGCAGCCTCTCTCTCTCTCTCTCTCTCTCTCTCTCTCTCTCTCTCTCTCTCTCTCTCTCTCTCTCTCTCTCTCTCTCTCTCGACGCCAGTCAGTACGGCATAGGTGTTGTTTTGCAGCAAGACGATGGTAATGCTTATAGACCCGTAGAGTTCATGTCTGCTAGGATGCCTTCAGAGAAGGTAGCGACATCTACCTATGAGGGGAACTCTACGCTCTCAGGCAAGCGTTAGACCATTGGAAGCACTACTTGCTTGGGAGGCACTTCAAAGTCTATTCCGACCACGAAACGTTAAGATGGTTGAAGACGCAGGCCAAGATGACACCTAAGCTTACCAGGTGGGTCGCAGAGATAGATCAGTATGATTTCGAGCTCAAGCCAGTCAAAGGGAAGTATAATGTAGTTGCGGACGCCTTGAGTAGGAGAGCTGACTACTTTGGAGCGATAGTTCATTATCTGGACATAGGGAGAGACCTCCAACAAAAGGTTAAAGAGGCGTATGCACAGGACCCTATCTATAGTGACCTCCTCAAGAGGGTAAAGGAGGCCCTAGAGACCGAACCAGATTACCGCACTACTGATGGACTGTTATTTGAGAAGACTAACGTAGTTGACCGTCTGTGCATTCCCAATAGTGAAGAGATCCGTAGTCTGATCTTAGGAGAATGCCACGACACAGTGGGTCATTTTGGTTGGCAAAAGACTTTAGCCAACCTGATGCACGCGTACACCTGGCCTGGAATGAAGAATGACTGCATAGAGTACGTTCGCAGTTGTAAAGTTTGCCAGCAGAATAAGACTACTACGCGTGCCCCGCTAGGTCTTCTCAGACCCTTGCCTATTCCCGATCAGCCCGGAGATTCAGTGTCCATTGACTTCATGGACACGGGCGTCAAGAGTAGGCATGGCAAGAGCCAAGTTATGGTGATAGTCGATAGATTTAGCAAGTATGCTATTTTTATACCTTTGCCTTCAGAGGCGCGGACCGAGTTAGTGATCCGCAAGTTTTTCGATCATTGGGTCAGTGAGCACGGGGTCCCATTGTCCATAGTTAGTGATAGAGACACCCGGTTCACGAGTCAGAACTGCCAGGAGTTGATGAGAGTCTACGGCTCTAAGTTGCTGATGTCGTCTGGCCGCCACCCCGAGACCAACGGTCAGACCGAGCAAATGAATAAGATCCTGCAGCAAGTTCTGAGAATGTACATTAGGCCAGATCAAGTTGACTGGGATGAGATGCTCCCCAAGGTAGCCAGTGCTTACACCACGTCAGAAAATGGTCAACAATTGGAATGTGGCATGTTTGACCACTCCCCCTCATAGCTGTGCAAGCATCCGAGCTCATAGAGTGACTTATTGGGTGCTGTGCTGGACACACCGGCACTTCCACTGGAACAGGGCGTGTCTGTGCAAAGTGTGCTCCTGAGGGTGAGGGAGGTTACCCCGATGAGCTACCGTCTGCCCTTGAACAGAATTCACGGTCAGTATCGCTGTATCTAGACTGAAAGTTGCACCAATAATCTGAGTGAGGACGCCGCCCGGCCGGAGTGGGCCCGGCCGGTTGGGCCCGGGGGCACCACCCAGGTAAACCGAGCGGGACAAAAAAACGCCCAGAATTTTTTATTTTTTTTTTTGAAACCGGGGTCGTTCTGTGCTCGGCGAGAGGACCCCGAATCTGCAATAAAATTTTGGTTTTGGTGAGGGGTTGGGGGGGTCGGTCTGGGTGGGGGGTGCTGGGGGTGGGGGGGTGTCTGTGATGGGGCGCAGACGCATTTTTTTCTTCTTTTTTTTTTTGGTAAGGAGTGTGTGTGTATACAAGGGGGAGTGCGCGCGCGCGCGCGCGCGCGTGAGAGAGAGAGAGAGAGAGAGAGAGAGAGAGAGAGAGAGAGAGAGAGAGAGAGAGAGAACGGATCCCCTTAACACGGCTCAGACGGCCCATGCAGGCTATCTGAACGGTCCTCGCAGACATGTAGCGCAGACCCCCCCACCATAATCGAGGTATGCAGTGAATATAAAATAGAGTACGAGCTGGCCGAATATATACTCAAGATTCRAATTCAGGTCTGTGTTTCAGCAGTTATGGGTTGCTCACGTAGTTAGGCCCCGTTGGTCTCTGCACGTGACTCTTAGGGCTTGGTTGCACTACTCTCGAAATGTGCAAAATTAGAATGAATCTTCTGCAGAACGTGGAATAATACGCCACCATATGTTTTGTCTTTTGTGCATTTGGTGAGTAAAGGCCCTTAGGGCCATTGCTCGTATTCCTAAGAACAAAAAAACGAGAAAAGAAAAGAAAAGCGAGGAAACAAAGAAATAGTGACCCATAACCGACATGCACAGACCTGAATTTGAATCCATACTATATATTCTCTGGCCCCGCTCAGGGAGTGCAAGTTTAAAGTGTGTCTCTGCATGACGTCGGGTCCTAGCTAATACGCAGTAGGCATCCTTCCGAAAAGAGGCTGGACACAACTAGGACATTTTTGTTTTTCTACTTTTTTAATGCGCCGCATCACTTGTGTGTGCATGCATGCGCGTGCGGCACCC